TGTTTGGAGAGTTGGTACTTCTAATAGTAGAATGCATATATTTTTGAAAGGCTGCACCTATAGGTTGCATGTTTGGTTGTGACGAGATGCAATTTAGTGTACTAAAACAGTAGTTTTCAGAGAGGACACACTTGGTCCTCAAGTGTTAGCTTTTGGCCTAGCTCATGCCTGAGGTGTGCCTGAATTTTTTTTTTTTTTTTTTAGATAGTAAAATAGAAACTTTATTGATAACAATAAGAAAAGCACACTTCTAATAATAGGTACTGACTTATGTTTACAACTCAACTATAAATGTTCAGAGGTGCAGCATTTTGCACTCTCAATGATTCTCCAAAAACTAGCTTCGAAATCTGTCTGCTTATCTCAGAAAATTCTTGTAAAATAAGCAACCAGCCCATTATCATCTTTCCTATATTAGCCATTCAACCTTCCTGAATCTGTCTTCAAACAATCTCCTGCTTCTCTCCTTCCATAAAACCCCAGCAAATTGCAAAAGGAATTTAGCTACGGCAGATTTTGGTCCCCTTACTTCCTTGAATCTTCAGCCACATGGAGAAAAGAAAAAAAAAACTCTTATTAAGTATTAGGACGAGGGGTCCATTTGATAATGGCTGAAGTGGCTGAACTAAACGAGTCATTGCTTTTAGTGAAATAAATATTTAAATAATAAAAATTCAAGGATATAGTAATCAAGCCAGTTCCAGCTTTTGCCATTAAGGAGTCTTATTCACTAAAAGACAAAACAATAAGTCATTCAGTTCAGCTATTTCATCTGTTATCAAACAGCCCCTGAAAATATTATAGAGATGAGCAGAACTGCCAAATGAAATCTGCCACCTTGCAAGATATGGACAAATGTGTCAATTTTTCTTCTAGGCAGTGTGAATTCTGCTGCCTTTTATCCTTCTTTTTGCAAGTGCATATACTGATTTCCTCCTTTCTTGTACTTTTATATTCTTTCAAACACATCTTACCTTACATCTCTTGATCTTTTTTCTTAATTCAATTCTTTGAACTCCTTGCGGACAGCATGCCAGGAAGAAATGCTTCCTTTTATTTTTGCCAACAGATAAGGAACTGTCTGGACTTATCAAAAACCCTAGCATTCTTCTCCTTCCATATACACCAGAATACTGCCACTGGAATCAAAACCTGTAGAACTCTCCCTCAGCTCCTCAAGCCTTCCAAATGCCAACTCCAGTGAAAAAACTGAATGGAATGTGGAAACATCCAACCCATCTGAAAGTGTTCAAAACAGTCCATCATATCTCAGCTACATGTGAACAATGCAAAAGGATTTGGTTTGCAGTTTCCAAAACCTATGAACAAAAAACACAGTCCACCCAGTTCAGCATCATTCCCCTTCTCAGAAGTCTGTCCCATATTAATTTGTTAAAATACTTCTCTAAGGCTGCAGTCCATGCAAAAAAACTTAATTTTCGAGGGAGCACCTGAACACTGAATACTCTGGAGGAAACTCAAAAACAACTCAGACTCTGAACACAAGTTGTAGTTTTTTGGTGCTTGTGGCAGAAAAAGTAAGCAAGGATTTTTAAGAGTAAATAGCAGTTCTACTAACTATATTTCAGAAGGCACTGGGAAACTTGTAATGGAAGCTGGGAGGGTGTTCTCAGCCATCTGGCTCCTTTTATGGGACCTTCTTGTTTTCTCTGTTTCATTTAAATAAAATTACCTTACCTTCTTCAAAAAAAAAAAAAAACATCTTTTCATGGATAGCTGTAGACAAATTGTTTAAAAATATAAATCATGATTCCTTTTTTATACATTGGAACCTTTTTGTAAAACAGGTGTTGGGGTTGAAGTGCAGCAGGGGTAGCTTTTGTAAGCCCTAGGTACAGCAACTTGTTGTACATGTTCTTTATTATATTTTAATATAACACCATACTTTCTTTCAAAAAAAAAAAGATTTTACAGAAGAGCCCACTTTTTTCTCCCAAATCGGCTTCTCAAATAATGCTACTCCACTTGAAGTCTGATCTCCCAAACTCTTTGAAGGATCTCCATCAACTGCTCCACCTCCCAGCCATTTAAATTCCTTCTAAAAATAGGGCAGCAACTGTAACATTTGCAGTTAAGTAAGAATCCTTAACCACCTACTCCCTGTTCTGTGTTAACATGAAGAGAGATGGAAAAAACGTCCATTAGAGGCTGCTGCCCATGCCAAAATCCCCCACAAGTAAACCCATTTCTAATCTTATCCTTACTCATCAGCATTTCAACAATACTAATTTTCTGGACAGGTTGCTTCACGGTTGCCTTGAAAGGGTTACTGAATTTTATTGTGTATTCAAAGCTTCATACAAAATGGCATCATAAGTAAATGGGTTTTGGATTTATTTGATTTGATTTTTGACAGGAGAGTCATTGCTCTTATTCTATGCAAAAGAAAAGAAAAGAAAAAACTCTTTCCCCTTGTATTTCTTTTTCTTATTTTTTATCAGCAACAAAGATTTCATAACGTGATTAAATTAGATTATTTGATAGTTCAAAATCCATGATGGACTGCATTCCAGTTCCCATCATCTTATAATCCAGCCTGTATTACAAATTAGCCCAAAACAATTGCTCCCTATGAAGTATGAACCTCTTGCTTTGATAGAGCATTGGCCAAACCATTAGCAATTTGTTTTACCCATCTGAAAATTGCTTCCATTCATTTTCTAGGTTACCAATTTCTCATAGAGTTTGCATGCACATCCAAGTTGCAGAACTGTTGCATTTCATTCATGAAATGACTAATTATGAGTCCCTTTCCACCTCTATCTGCTTCAGTCCAAGCTGTTTTCCTAACCTCATCCCTTGAGTGACATAATTTCATATTTCAGTGAGTCTCCATGACCAATCTGCCCTCAGTACATTGTCATAATCTCACCTTCTTCATCTAAAAACATCCCCCACTCTGGAGGTCCAGTGTTACCCAAGGAGCTTCCATCAAAAGTCAGATTTACCTGTTGTGTGAAGGGGATTTCCATTCCATTAAACTTGCATCCTTTACATTATGATGGCTTCCATTCCATTATATTTCTTTTTCTTCTCTCTTGCTCTATCGCTCTATCCCTCCTGGCATAAAGAAAAACATTCTCTTATCAAAAAAAGAAAAAAAATCATCCTCCAATCCTCTATCTCTGGAAAAAAAAACAGGATCTTCATCCCCTTCAACTTCTCTTTGTTTCTCTCACCCTAACCCTCTAGTTTCTGCAAGAAGGTGATGAAAGTTTATAATTCAATACCCATAAAAAAAAAGGTTTCATATTCAATAATGCTGAGGTCAGGGTCAGGATAGATCAGTCCCAAACCAATAAATAAATATGCAATGCAGACCTTATAGGGTCTGTAATAACAGAACAAGACCAAGACCAAGACCCAGAACCAGAACCAGAACCAAACCAATTATTAATTGGTACCATTGGGTCTTACCTGATAAAACCCGACTGTAATTGACAGCTCCAATTTTAACCTCTAATTTAACAATAAACCTGCTCATTTGTTAAATTGACACATTTGCATGGTGACCTGTTACAAGCTGAAGGATCTAGAAGAGCTAGGGGTATCCAAGAAGAGATAGGGCCCATACCTTAACAATGGATATGGCACTGAACAGACGGAATGGCAGAACAGGATTCATGTGGCCTACTCCAGTATAGTTGGGACAAGGCTTAATTGAGTTAAGTTGAAGTGGTTCTGATCTTAACCAGTCCGAACAACCAAAGCCAATCAGGACATAATATCAAAACCTGGAACCAACCCACTCATAACCAGGATACAAAGTGCAGACTCAGACCCTATATAATAGGATCAGTTTGTTTTAGTTCTGTTGGGTCCACCAGACCCATTGACAGCCCTAGGATTCAAGAAGCCATTTCTGGATAGATTATTGAAGGAGAGGGAGAGAGGACAACATCCATATTAAAAAAGGGGGGCTTGTTGTATGTGTAAAATTTGGACTACTTGGTCATTGAACCTATGTGGTTACCAGAGATTTATTTACTTCTTTTCCTGAGGGGTTTCTATTCTAACAAGAGAATCTTTTATTTTCCAAATAAGGGGCCAGTTATTGTCAGAAATTTCTGTAGTAGAAACATAACTACCTACAAAACGTTAGGTAGACAAAGATCTTTCATAATGCCAAAGATACAGAGGTTTAAAAGTGTAATGCATAGATTACAGAGGTTTTGGCAATTTATCACATGATCAGATGTCCAAACCTTTGATGCCAAGATACGGATACGGACACGGATGCAGGAAATGAGGATACAATTCTCCATTTCCAAAAATCCCAAACACGTACACGGACATTGAAGCTAAATGCCACTTCACAAGAAAATTTATGAAGTGTTAATGTTATAGAGTACATGTACATCAAGAAGTGTCCATGCAGTATCTGGTCTATCCAATAAATATTGTGTTCAACAATGATCATGTACAAATATCTAAGGATCATAGGTCCAAACCATTCCAAGTCTATCCAATAAATAATGTTACAGAGTACATGTACATGCTAGGCATTTACATTAGCAAAAAGCGCAAAATTTTAAAAAGGCGCACACCTGGGCTGAGGCGCAAGGCGCATCAAGTGCACCAGGCGTGTGCCTTTTGAAAAGGGTGCACCTAGGACCTGGGCGAGGCGCATACCCCAAAATGCGCCTCGCCTGTCC